ACACATTTATTTAAACTTGGTTCAGGCATAATTTCTTGTATATCGAATTAATAATGAATTATTTTACAGATATCAATAATAAAACTGTTTGTTTAAAATTTCAACTGTCCAGGAATAAAAAAAAATAAAATAAGACTGTTTCTTAATTAAAACCATAATGCACACACATTTTCAAATCTCTGCAGTCTTCCCGTGAAAGAGAACAATAGGGCCAGTTTATCAGTAAATACTAGCACTTGCCCAAGTGTTCTGACTTAGTAATGTTACCCTTTTATAACCACCGATTCAGTGAAAACGGAAGTATACATATTTTGCATATTGCCTTTTAATTTTCTAACACGATTCATCAATATTTTTCATAATCACTTAATCTATTCTGTAAAATTCTAAGATCTTCCCTTTCTTTTTTCGCCCAATATCTGACATAATTTTCGACAGAATTTAATATAAAAGTGAAGTTCTGTCACCAAGTAAAAGATCAGGTTTCCCTGTATTTAGGACCTTTCAAAATGATTGCTTATAGGTCGTCATTTTCAAATATTAATAATATCAGTAGTAATGACTTGTGCAGCGGTATTATAGCTGAAAGAAGAGAAGAGCAAAAATACTCATTATCTGTGAAGTGTAAGGTTTGTTTATAATTGAACATCTTTGAAGCAACAACTTTGGAATATCTGTAGAGAATGCAAGGTGTAGACTTCACAACATCTATTCATTTGTTGAGTTTAAGGAACCGGCGGGTTTAATCGAAATTATTATCTTCTATTATGACACTTACCCTGTGTTTATGTTTGCAGATATCTTAGCTTTTAACTGCATTTTCTTTTTATTTTCATTCTGAAAGTTAGTTGCTGTATATGACAAAATGATAGAAATGCTAGAACAGTGTGTCATTTCTGAATATCAGATGTGTAGATAATAATGTGGAAATTCAAGCATTTAACTTTTTTAACGTAAGAAAACGTAATGATACTATTTCAATAATTTATGATGGAATAGCACTACTTTTCCCAAAACAGGGGAGACTGAGGGCAGAAAACTCCAAATCTACTTCCCCAATGTCCATTCGTCCTTGGCTAGCAATAATTCCATGACACACAAACAATTTGAATCATGGAATAATCAAAGGTCCTTTTTTTTTCTACAGGATCATTATTCTACGAGCAACACATGGAATAGTGACCACAGGAATCAAATTTCCACAAAAGCAAATATGTATTGTACAATAAAGGGGTAAATTTTCTACAACAAGAGTAGACCACCCTGTCATCTTTCCATGGGGATCACTATTCAAGAATTTAAAAAGTTCATTTTCTGACCTCCGTGGGATTCTTTTTGTTTGTTTGTTTGTTTGTTTTTTCTTTCTTTTTTTTTTCTTTTTTTTTTTTTTAATTTTTTACTCTAGTAAAACAACTGTTTATTATTATCAACATTTACTATTTTTTTATCTAATTAATTCTACACTGCAATGGTGTAAAGAGATTTTTTTTAAGTAGCTATCCATACTTATTAATTATTATTATTATTATTATTATTATCATCATCATCATCATCATCATCATCATCATCATTATTATTATTATTATAGAAATCCTTGTTTTTATTTTGACAATCTGCTGAAAGTAAACAAAACTACCAGAGAACTGCAAGTTCGGAATGCACAAGGGGAGGGACTTTCTTGTCACTCAGAACATTTGCATGCATGGGTGAACAAAGAAGTCCCAGAAAGCAGTCCCAGGAGCTGTTTGGACTGCTAAGTTTGTTTTCTAGAACAGTCCCACAGCGGTCCGTGAGCAGTCCCACAGCAGTCCCACATTGTGGGAAAGCAGTGTCAGTGACTGGTTTCTGGGACAGCTTGGATGTCAGGTTGAGTCTGGCTGGTTCTGCATGAAATGATTTTCCAGATAATTACAATGGCAAACGTTATGAATATATAAAATTGAAAAGTTGGTAGAATTGACTAAAATTGTCTTGAATATGCTACAGCTGAGAATGAAAACGATATTTTTTTCCCTACATTTTGCATTTCTTGGGTGGTCCTTTACCGTGCTGTGCAGTATAGTCAGCAGCAATCATTGGCATCATTAGGTGACAAAAATTTAGGGTGTCAGGACGTGAAATATTTATCCTCAACAAGAGGCCCATGGGCCACATCGCTCACCTAAGTAACTTTGGCCATGCTGTTCTTTGCCAGATTTCCCCCTTTTAATATACCTATTGTGGCCCCGCCCTACCCCCGGGGGTCATGATTTGAACAATTTAGAATCTACACTACCTCAGAATGCTTCCAAATATGACTCAGCTTTATTGGTCCAGTGGTTCTTGAGAAGAAGATTTTTAAAGAATTTTCTTATATATTTCAAGATAAAACTTGGACTCCCTATTGTGTCCCGCCCTACCCCCGGAGGTCATGATTTGAACAATTTATAATCTACACTACCCCAGGATGCTTCCATATAAGTTTCAGCTTTTCTGGCCCAGTGGTTCTTGAGAAGAAGATTTTTTCAGATTTTTCTTATATATTTCAATGTAAAACTTGGATTCCCTATTGTGGCCCCGCCCTACCCCCGGGGGTCATGATTTGAATAGTTTATACTCTACACTACCCCAGGATGCTTCCATATAAGTTTCAGCTTTTCTGGCCCAGTGGTTCTTGAGAAGAAGATTTTTTCAGATTTTTCCTATATATTTCAATGTAAAACTTGGATTCCCTATTGTGGCCCCGCCCTACCCCCGGGGGTCATGATTTGAATAGTTTATAATCTACACTACCCCAGGATGCTTTTATATAAGTTTCAGTATTTCTGGCCCAGTGGTTCTTGAGAAGAAGTTTTCAGATTTTTCCTATATATTTCAATGTAAAACTTGGATTCCCTATTGTGGCCCCGCCCTACCCCCGGGGGTCATGATTTGAACAATTTAGAATCTACACTACCCCAGGATGCTTCCATATAAGTTTCAGCTTTTCTGGCCCAGTGGTTCTTGAAAAGAAGATTTTTAAAGATTTTTCTTATATATTTCAAAGTAAAACTTGGACTCCCTATTATGTCCCGCCCTACCCCCGGGGGTCAAGATATGAACAATTTATAATCTACACTACCCCAGGATGCTTCCATATAAGTTTCAGCTTTTCTGGCCAAGTGGTTCTTGAGAAGAAGATTTTAAAGATTTTTCTTATGTATTTCAATGTAAAACTTGGATTCCCTAGTATGGCCCCGCCCTACCCCCGGGGGTCATGATTTGAACAATTTAGAATCTACACCTTTATTAACTGAAAGTACGTGCCCCTTGAATTATCTATTTATCTTGCAATTTGTGCACTTTTTGGTCTTCTTTGAAAAGTCTGAATTAAAAATCTTCACTCTTTAAGATTTTTTATATTGCTTTTGTAAAGAAGGCACCCACGTCCTTTCAAAAGAATTTAAATCATAATAGATGGACACATCAGGTCATATTTTTCAAAGAAAATTAAGGTCTTCGGAGTTATATTATTCGGGCCATAAGACTTTGATTCTTATAACTTAGTTTAGGAGCATCACATCTTTCCATTTTTTCATGATTAAAAGTTTTCCCTACTTTTAAAATAATTTTCATAGAACATTTTTTTCTTAATTTAGTGTACCAAATTTATTAAAAAATATTTGATTCATTTTTCTTTCCATTATTTTGGGTAATTTTTCTAAAATAGTTTCTTAATTCAGGACTAATGAAATATTTTTTTAATGATTGTGCTTGCCTTCTTCTGTCTAATTTAACTTTGTCTAAGACAATGACAATATTTTTTTAATTGATTAATCTCCTATTCTACCAGTTAGTTCTGTAGATTCTTGTATAAAATTCTCTTCAAGACATGATTTCCCTTTCAGCTATTTTCTTTTCTTATAGGCTAAGTTGGGAGTTGATTTTCCTCTTATTTCAATTAGTAATGTACAGTACCAACAAGACCCAACCTGACACTCAAGCAGTCCCCGGGACTGCTCTGGGACCGCTGGGACTCCTCTAGAAAGCAAAACCAGCAGTCCAAGCAGTCTCTGGGACTGCTATCTGGGACTGCTTTGTTCACCCATGCGTCAAAATGAAAAGAAAGCCCCGCCCCTTGTGTATGGCGAATTTTGTACAGTACTTTTGTTTACTTTCAGCAAAGGACTTGTAAAAGTAAAATCAACAAGGATTTTCCAAAAAAAAATAACAAGTACGGTTAGTTACTGCAGAAAAATGAGATAATAATACGTCAATCGCCGATTTTGCACCATTGCAGCAGACAATCAATCAGAAAAATTAGTTAAATGTGGTAAAAAAAAGTTGTTTTGCCAGTTTAAAAAAAACGGAAGTCAGAAAATGATTTTTTTAATCCGTTTATTTAACGTAAATGCAGGTGTTCGAAACTAAACTATTTATTTAATTAATTAAAGCTGTTAAATTATGTACTCAAAGCTTACATTACTCTATGTCCTAAAGAAGGAAACAATCACGTCATTAAAGTTTTAAAAAATAATCAAAGCTACATGCTGCACTGGAAAGTGATTATTTTTAAAATCCAAAGGCCACTATCACGGAAAAAAAATCCAGTGCCTTTTTTCCGGCTTCAAAATAAAACCTAATAATTAATTCAAATAAAGACAATCTTTTTCTATGAAATAAATTTATCTGACATTGTCCCGTCATATAAACGACGTGAGCAATTATTGGTTGATTTTTTTCCCGGATTAATTTTCAACTTATAAATAAGTTTTAAAAAATATATAAAATTATATTTTTAAATAAATATGGTTGAAAATATCGAAATTTGAGTTTTATTTCTTATTTCTTTTTGTGTACGTTTGAAGAAAAGCAAGATACATGTAGCATCTGTAATGTCCGGCCGATCAAAAGCCATACACAGTGTATAAAATGTGTAAACACCTGGCTAAGGTTTCAATCGCCTTTGGACATGAATAGCAGACAGTTCACGCGTGTTATTTGGGCATCAGTGTTACACATCATTTACCATGCTGGTCGAAATGGCATTCATTTCGTTCTTCAGACTGCAAAACCCTTGTTTCAATAAATATGGTATAAATGTTTTTCAGGATTATGTAATTATTAAATATCTGAGGTAATCACTTGCACGATTTACATGTATATGCACAGTGATGTAAGGGCTCAGGAAATATTTAAGTGAAATTGTTTTACATTGCGTAAAGATTCTTACAATAATTATATCGACAAGTCAATGAAAATGATAGCAAGAAAATATTAGTAGGCAAAAATTTGATAAAGAATTAACTGTCATCAAATTCATGATATATTTTCTAAAGCTTCAACGTCAATGAAAAACGTATACGGAGTAATATGGGAATCGGTCTTGCTCTATAATTGTAGGACCTATTTCAAAGTCATTAAATTCTAGACTAAGTCTAAAAATAAACCATTCATTTTATTTAGCACATAATTATTTTTTTATTAAAAAATATATGGTAACTATTATCAATAAATCAAATCTAATAAACAATTGGTTTAATTTGGTGTCAAATTAATATGCTACAGATGTAAATATTTAGTGTGAAAGTATCTTTTCTTCTATTATTATTTTTTTCTTATGTATACTGTAATTTTAATAATTATTCAGAAATAATTGTCACATACGAATTGTAAATACGCTGTACATGTGACATGTCTAACACTTTTCCCCCTGAAAAAGTGTGTCATTAATTTCAACTGCTTTTATATTACTGACATTGTTTGTTGATACAATGTGTAATCTCAGTTACGACTAAGCTCTGCCCGTTAAATTATTAACCCCGCCTACTGGGACTGCTGAGACTGCTCTCTGGGATTGCTTGGGATACTTTCTGGGACTGCTGGGACCGCTTTGGGACTGCTCTGGGACCGCCCTTGGACTGCTTTGGGACTGCTGTGGGACCGCTGTGGGACTGCTTTACCAATCCCAAAGCAGTCCCAGAAAGCAGTTCCAGGGACTGCTCTGGGGCTGCTTTCTGTCAGGGTGGGTCTGTTTGGTACTGTATCTTAGAATAATTGATCACTTAAAAAAAGGGGATTAGCAGTATTAAAAATAGAATTAATATTTTCAAAATTATGAGAAGGCAAACTGAATTTCATATATATTCAATTAAAATAAGATTGTATTCTCTTTTTTCAAGTAGATATCAGAACGGTAACTGATGTCATGCTATATATTTATAGATACAAATTTAATAATGATTCTGAAATTTTGAAGTACTCAAATCTGGACTGTTAAATTTGTTCCTTACGTTGTGTTCATTTAAATATTCAGATAAGACAATGAAATTGATATTTTGTACAATATTCAAAAGAAATTGTTATTGTTGCTGACGACTTCCACTAATGCAAATTTAATGTTAAGTAACACTTGTGATATAACTTATGAATCATCCTTTATTTTAATTATACATAGATTCATGATGTTCCCTGCAGTTGGCTTCATTGCCATTCTTACCTGACAAGTTCAAAAAAATTCCATTAATCTTGTTAATTATGATAAAAATAGCGGTAATTGATATGCGCACAATGCATAAAAAGTTATGTAATTATGTCATTTATATTATGTATTTATAGTGCACGTACAGAGGAGAAATGTAAAACTAAGATATAAATAAAAAAGATAGCCATAACTTTGTATTTAAGAAAATACACTTTAAATGAAAAAAAAAATATGACAAATTTGGAATTATTTTTTGTTTTGACATTTCTTTGTTTTACTTTGGTAAGTATTGACATTATTTTTTATATATTGTTTAAATGATTTATTTTTGCTCATTGAAATAATTTGTTAATATTTACACTGGTTTGGCATGTACTTAAAGGCCGGGTCGCAGGGAGTTAGATCTACTTCAAAAGAGGAGGAAGGTAACCAAAAAACAAGGTAAAACTCTCTCTCTCTCTCTCTCTCTCTCTCTCTCTCTCTTAGCCAACTTTCAAAAAAAAATTGCATTAATTTATATCACTTCTCTTAGAGACTCTCTTAGACGGTGCTCAAGCAGAAAGACGATCCATCGTCTTGATGGAAATTCAAATGAAAAGCAGGTATAACTTTCTCTCTCTCTCTCTCTCTCTCTCTCTCTCTCTCTCTCTCTCTCTCTCTCTCTCTCTCTCTGTGTGTGTGTGTGTGTGTGTGTGTGTGTGTGTGTCAAATTATTAGCTCACCTAAGCCGAAGGTTATTTGTGCTTTTCTGATCGTAACTTGTCCTTTGTATGTCGTTGTCGTTGTTGTCGTCGTTGTTGTCGTTTTCATTGAAGACTTTTCAAAATTTCATCATCTCTAGAATCTCTGTGCCACTTTCAACCAAGCTTAAAACAGAGTAACCTTCGGTAAAAGGAATTCACATTTCTTAAAATATAGGGGAAAGTAATCAAGAAAAGGAAAAAAAAACAATTGGTTTCATTAAAAATTTCTCAAGAACCACTGGGTCAAAAAAGTAGAATTTTAGTGAAACCGTCTGACATAGTGTAGCTTGTGGGTAATGTTGGAGCCCGAGCGGGGTAAGAAATTTTAACATGAAAATACAAAGTAAATTTCTTGGATTTTTTCTCTCTCATGACCAGCGGGACCATGATTAGATATATTTTTATTACGCAAGCCTCCGCAAGCGTTGCAGAAATCATGCCCCTGGGCGTAGGGTGGGACCACAATAGGGTTAAAGTTTATACTGGAGTTTATAGGGCATTTCTTTAAAAATCTTCACAAGAACTACATGTATTATTAGAGATATTAATATGCAAGTATACCCAGGGCTTGTTGTAAAGTAAAACTCTGGTATAAAGAAGTCACTTGGACCTCCATATTTGCTTCTTTATAAGGCAATCAAAATCAACGTTAGAAACTTATTCACTATTCATTATTCGAATAGCGAACCGTATTCAGAGTTGGGTTCACTGTTCAAATAACTGTAAGTGTCCATTTTTTTTTTAAAGTACTAGATTGTCTCAATTTAAGGAAAAGCTAATCAAAGATCTCACTTACAAAAGAGAGACAGAACTCCAAAACCAATATAGCTCTCCCGCCATCCTGGATTAAAAATTTTGACATTCATCTGTGGACAGGGTAGAGGTCTGGGAGGGAACCCTGACTTTCAAAAGGAATTGTGTTTACAAGACAGGTAACTTACTTAGTTCTCTCAACCACGACCAAAACATAGTAATAGGCAGTGTAGTTCAAACGCAACTTGGTTGTCTGGAATGTTAGAAGTACTCAAGACTGAAATATTATTTTGAATTATGTAAATAAAATCCCTGTAACTTTGATCCCCCTTTTATACATATGTATATCTGATATTCCTTAAAAATATTAGCTCAATAAATATCAAGCTCGGAAACATCGTAGTTCTTCACTCCAGGTTCTGAGATTTTTAGGTTCAGGCACAAGTTGTCAACGACCTCTACTCCGCAGCCTGGGACTATAATTTCAAAGTGGGATTCTAGTCTTCAATTTACATCAGTCAATTAAAAAAATCCTAGAGAACTTTTCTTTGGAAATAAAACATTACAAAATGACGTCAACTGGATTCATATGTCGTCCCTCCATTCTTCTCACAAACCTTTATTACTTTAACAATCCATAACATCATATTTATTGTTATTTAATGAGTTTAATATGTTCTTATTTATGTTTTACACTTTGCGTTGTCTACCTTATAAGTAAATCCCCACCCGGCCCTTTATACTTAGGTAATTATGTAAATTCTTTTCATAACTTTTGGGGAAAGTATTTATATAATCTAATTTATTGGGTTTATTGAATACATTTATTTCAACAAAATGCACTGATTTCATTCAAGATAATGATTTTCTTTATCTTAAATCAAATGAATTCATAAAGTAGTATCAGAATAAATTGCTTGTTACAAACTACATGTGTATTTGATTGACTGATACAAATAGAGAGCATATATTTTATCGGTATGGGAACAACCCCTTGACATCTAGCAGCTGTACTTTTATTTATTTTTACAAATTAAATTTTACACGTATCTATCTGTATTTCCATTCGTTATGAATGTTTTTAAGAAATGAGACTAATTTTTACTAAGCAATTATTAAGAAAGAGCTAATTGCGCCAAAATTATGCTATATCGTTTAATATAAGTAAAAATTAAACTGGAAAATAATTTAGTTTGTTATTTTTTTTTATTTTGCACAACGATTTTGAGAGCATGACGTGAGAAAATTCTTGAAGGTTGGTCGAGAAAATGGAACCTCCCTCTTACGGGGATATCTGTGCAGTAATTCGAATATTATCCTCATAAATGCATGTAGTCATGTTAGTAAGAAAATATTTCTTTATAAATCATGGTCATGCCCCCCCCCCCCCCAATTAATTTTGCTGATTTTTAATAAATTGGTAACCTAACAACAAAACTTTATGATAAACATGATGACGTCAACCTTTCTGTAAACTTCCATTACTTATGTAGCAATATACCATTTCAACCTGCGTATTGAATTTATGTCTCCCTGTTAATTCGATACGCAAGAGCATGCTCTACGTACGAACATTCTTTAAAGTTAGAGGTGAAGTAAGCTATTGAAACAAGAATATCAACAGACTCGTTTGAAGTCAACATTTGGCAAATTATATAGTCGATACAATGACCTTGTCAGCAAATACAATCTATCATAAAGTCAAATGTTGACTGACATTTTCATTCAAATTATTATTTTTTTTTTCACACTGAATTGTCTACGGATTTTTCCGTTAGCCCCTTCATGACAAGAAGCAGAAGGCGGGTGTCAATGAGTTTTTGCCAGGTACTACCCTCCAAAACTCAAAACGTTTAATTGTGCCCCCCCCCCCCCCCTCCGATTGAAATTGCGTCCTACGGGCCTGAAATTTTTATTGAGTAAAAATATTAAATATCAAAAGAACATCTTGTGCTGAATAATACAACTACTGATTTCTTTTAAGTATTTGATATGATCTACTACAGCTCACAAATGCTCTATCGGAACACCACCACCACCCCACCCCCCACCCCACCCCCCTTTATTTCAAAGTTGCAGGATCAAAATGGGGAATCTCCTCTTAAAACAATCCAAACGACCAACATTTCTTATTGATTATGTTTAATGGACAGATTTTTGATAATGCTGACTTTTTTCCCTCTGGATTCATTTTAAAATGGAATGTTGCAGGGATGTTCAAATTCACTGTACTTTACGGCTCTAATAGAATTATGAGGAAAATAACGTATTTCATGGAATTCAATTTGAAATCATATGAAAAGTAATCCCGATACCTATATTAAATTTGATATTATTTCAAAGAAGAGGCCAAGAACATACAAATTACCGTTTTCTGGGAGACTATAGGCAATAAGGATACATTTCCTTTGTCTGATAATCAAAAAACTCCCATATTCATGACTGGTTTTCTTAATTTCTTATTGAAAATGACAGTTTAAAATATGTTTTTTTTCATTTTGTTTCATACCAATTATGTCCCGAAACACCCTATTTGACAAAGCTTAAGTTATAAAACACCATTAAAGGAATTTATTGCTCAAATTTGAGAAATCTGTAGGCACCATTCATTTACTAGATCTTGGCCTTAAGCAACAATCATTCAAAAAATGCACATGCCTCTGACTAGATATGAGACTCAAATTTTGGGATTCTGTATGATATCCAGTCCCATGTACAAAGTTCACTTTGTAAGAGTATTTTGGTGTGGCTAGCTACTTTCTGTCTTGTTTGTAAGTGAGGTCTTCCATTCGCTTCTATAACATGTGTTAATTTGAGTCGATTTAATTTCTTGAAAAAAAAATTATTAGGACACTTACGGTGATGTAAATAGTGAACCAACCATAGAAGATTTATTGAATAGTGAATAATAAAACGTGAATAAGTTTTTAACTTCTGATTGACTCTTTGTAACCGAGTTTCTTTATATCCATATATTTACATTTACAAATGTTTTCTTTTATATAACACTATTAAAAGCAACGCGTATCTATATCCGTATAAACACGGGTTCCTCGCGTCATAAACGTTCGACATATTTATTCAGTGAAGTCATAAAGGGTCGACGCGCAATCAATGGATCAAATACGTGCCGTTGAGTTTGAAAAAATAAAACATTTCAAGCGTTAAAGATTATAATCAGGAAAGTATAAAATATGAATAAGTCATAAATGTAAATATAAGTAATAATGTATCATTTTTAAACATCTATCGGGATATAAATACGGGTTGGTAAAAGATCAAATTTACAATAAAGCACTTCGGGCTTTATGGAATTTGTTCTCGTGTCGAACCCGTATTCATATCCCGATAGATGTTTAAAAATGATACATTATTTCTTAAATAAGGAAAATAGTGAAAAGTCTTCTAAGGAATTCGTTAAAAAGTTCTTTATAACCGAGCTTTTCTACTTGGTGAGTTCTTTATAACCAACTCTTACTGAATCTAGTGATAAAATATCAACATGACCCCCAGGGGCAGGGTGTGGCCCCAGTAGGGAATTAGATGGGAATTAAGAGGAAATTGCGTTCAAAATGTTATATACTAGTCTAGCAGGACCATGATTAGTGATATTTATATGCAAGTATCCGCAGAGAATGAAGGTTCTAATCTGTTCAAAACGTATGTGGACCTCGGTGAAAGGGTGGGGCTACAAAAGGGTATCAATAGTTTTACACGGGAATATATAGATAAAAATTCTTACTTAATCTTCCTTTATAAAGAACAATAGGGCCATGATTGGTGATATTAATATACAAGCATTGTAAGGTCATGTATATTAAAATTGTTCGGCCCCTGGATGGTAGGTTGGGGCCACAGTAGAAAATCGAACAAAATATCTTTTTTGAAATTCTTTTCAAAAAAAATCGTGATCAGTCATTTTAAACGCAAGCATCTTCAGGTAGTGTAGATTCAAGTTTGTTCAAAGCATTGCCCCCGAGCTAAGATGGCTCTGTATTCTGAAGAAAAACAGTGCCAAGGTTTCTCAGGTGAACGTTTTAATCTATTGGTCTCTTTTTGAAGTCGGACTCAAGCGAATCCAAAGAATCTCAAAAATCTGATGAAAGTTATTTAAAAGAGGACCAATCGTTGGCGGTCAGTTAAACTGAAGAGAGTGTGAATGTTAAAGACACAGACTCAATGACAATACCCAAAGAAGACAAATCTCCAATGATTACTGACGGTACAGACCTAACGCCAATTCATCAAGACACAGAAACTATGGATAGGACTGATGAAATATGCTGGGATTTTGAAAAGGAACGTTGCAAGGAAGTCCCCGAGTTATCATTGGTACGGGCAACGCTGTTTATGTATTCACCGCGCTTCCCTGCGGTGTTAATATCATCGTGATTAGTACCGGTGTCTCAGGTAAAAAAAAAAACGCGTGCCCCCGCGGTTCGATCATCCAGGTAATCCTTTCAACCTATGGATCATGGATAGAAAAAAATTCTTCAGATAAATTGCGAGTTGTCTCTCTTGAAAATTTTAAAACAAAACAAAATAAAAGAAACTAAACATGGAGAAAGAGAGAATGAAAGAGAGAAAAATAAAGAATGAAAAAATTGACTAAAAAAATATAAAAAATGAAATACGTCTGAAACGTCAAATTATAAATGTGTAACCTACTTTTCTGAACGTAAGGCTATATGTTTGGGTAATTATTATATTCAGATTCACTTAACGATCTCCTGGTCTTGATTAGATCGAATAGCTCTATTTGCTCGGTAACGTTGGGATAACACTGAGGGCTATCCTAAATACCCTCAGTATTACGGCAGGCTATTTTACCGACAGGTGAAGTTTATATCATAAGATAAGATACCCGAAGCAATGCAGGTGTGAATTCCTCAGGGCAGAAATAATGATATTTCTTTTACACTTGGAAAAGCCATCATATGGAAAACCGATTCATCTTTGTTTTTTAACAAATAATGAAATAATGCAACCTCTTTTTTTCAATACGTAGCCTAATTTGTATACTAGTTGCATAGTTTACCTGTCTTTAATCTGAATGATCATAATTGAATATCGTAGATATATATTTATCAGTGCATAGAAGCTACAAATCTCCTCTTACACGCATGTTTGTATCTTAATTAGTAAACAAAATATTTACAGTTTTTCTTCTATAGTTATGTATGTGAAAAAGTGATTCTTTTGTATCCAACAATTAAGACAGGGAATGTCTAAGGTGCAGGCAACTTATAGAAGTTGAAGAATAAAAAGGGATGTCAATTTATTTTTCGGGGGGGGGGGGGGGCTACGTGTTCTGATTCCTATTGATCTTTTCAAGCAAATTTCTACATCTACGGTGCATGTTTTTTTGATACAAGAAACCCTCTTTTAATTTTGAGGTTAATGGTCAAGGCTACATGATAACTATACAAGATAGATGTTTTAAATAGGTTCGATGCTGAGTTTTGGGGAGATTTTTGTCCTGACCTCTGTTTAAAAAATCTGCATAATAGTTTAGTATACATGTATAAATAAATTTGGATTCTACAATGCCATTTATTTAAACTATATTCAATTAAAATCACACAATTAAAGTCCACACCAAAACCTTTAATTCAGGAACTCTATTTTGTGGCGGAAGTATTTTTTAGAGGAGAATGTTCATTTTTTTCTCTTTCAAGTAAATGTATTTACAACACCGCTAAATTTGGATTTCTATTTTTTCATGAAGGCTGCACACAGAGCTATTTTGTGCTTTGAAATGTTTTATGCTGTTCCCAAATTATTTTTCAATTAACTGTCACGGGTTCTGTCATCATAACATCATCGTGACAAATATAGCAAAAATATTGTGAAAGTCCAGAAAAAAAATAGCCCAATTTAAGCTTAAAATTAATATTATTTAAGTTATATCTAAAATTAAAATAACAAACCTCCACTTTTCATTTTCGTTTCTGAAAATATAAGACATTTTCAACCATTCTGCTTTAATTCAGTAAAATCTAATACTTTAAAATGATTGTATTGCTTGTTGAATATTTGATGCCAGAAAAATATTTTATAAGTCCGTAAGGGTCAAATAATTGACTATACGAATTAATTTGAAACTTTTTCATTGCCATAAATTTCAGGTGTCTATTGATTGATTGATTGATTGAACGTTGTTTTACGTCCCGTTCGAGAATTTTTCACTCATATAGAGACGTCACCATATACCGGTGAAGGCCTTCAAATTTGCACCTTTACTCGGCACTCAGGGCCATCCGGCAATGAGGGCTGTTTATTGTACCAACGCCTACAGTGACACAGGGCCTCAGTTTTTGAGGTCTCATCCGAATGACCAACAACTTTCACTTCAAAGTGCCGAGCTCTTGGCGAAGGAACAGTTGCTACCTATTTTTTGTCGACTTAGGTCAGTCGTGGCCGTGATTTGAATACACGACCTCCCGATCACGGAGCTTCATGTGTCAATTCAAGATAAAATAAGACTGTATTTGGTCCCATGATTTATTTGGATGAAAAAGATTGGAGGAAAAACGTCGAAAATTTGATTTATTTGTTAGACATAACTACAGTGCAAAAAAGGTCAAATTAAATGCTCTGTAGCGCCAAGAAGCGCATTAACAACCATTTTTCCTTCTACCGACTGAGCTACCGTGAACGATCAGTACTTATTGAAGGACAGCAATTTGATTATTTCATTTGCACATTGAAAGCAAAGTATAACTGAATTAAAAAAAAGTGTTATACGGAATTATGAAAACAAAGTTAAGGCACGTTTTAAGAAAATAATAACCGATTTATTTTCCGACTCCGCATTTAAATAACAGACACAGTTTAAGGTCAATTTAACTATGGAAACATAGTAACATGAGGTTATTCAAGTTCAAAATCAGTGAAAATTTTAATTTGAACGTAAATAACATACAGTACCGACCAGACACAACCTAACAGAAAGCGAACCCAAAGCGTACCCCGGGTTCGCTTTCTGGGTTCGCTTGGGGTTCGCTATAGCTGACCCCGAGCGAACCCGGAGCGCACCCCGAGCAAACCCGGAGCGAACCCGCAGCGGACCCAGAGCGAACGCCGAAAAGGAACCCCAAATTCAGTAGCGAACCCGGGAAGCGAACGCGCGTTCGGTGTTGCGTAACAGAGCTGTCAATCAGGATTAGCGATAAGACAATCAGTGCGTTGACCTGTCAGCATGCCAGTTTGTCATTCGATGAAATTAAAACATTGTACAAGCAAATTGTGTTAATGTACAGAGTGAAATTATTATTAACATGATTATGAAAATTATATTTATCTTTTAATTATCCAGATGGCATGTTATATTTACACATTTATTTTCTTTATTTTTTATTTTATTTCTTCAGTGTTCCAAAGTCGATGAATTGCAGCAATAAATATTTTCAATCTAAAGTATCTATTAATAAAGCTTTATTTCTTTTTAAAAATATCCACTCCTAAATATTTTTTACTATTTTGTGTAAAAAAAAATCGTGCATTTGCGCTAACAGTCGTGAATGATTGTGTAACGTGAAGAATCATGTGCGTGAAGGATCGTTCGTGTAACAGGTTTAATCGTAGGGAATCGTTCGTGTAACGTGATCGTTCGTGTATTGTCAACAATAACGTTGCAGCCACTGTACATGCACATGTATCGATCGCCGCAAAAACAACAATGATCGATTTCATTACTGTATTTGGAATATACAATGGGCGGAGCTTACTGGCGGCAGGATTGAAGCGGTGTCTGCTTCACGCATGAGTGCCAAAAGCGAACCCAGAAAGCGAACGCCGGGTTCGCTCTAACGGACCCAGAGCTGACCCCCAGCGAATGCAGAGCGAACTCAAAATTTCTGAAAGCGGACCCGTAGTGGACCCTGAGCGAACCCAGATATGCGCTTTGGGTTCGCTCTGGTGTTAGGTTGTGTCTGGTCGGTACTGTATATGATGTTTATATACACTCATTTCGTATTTTTATTTTTAGCTCAGATACGCCATATATAGATTTAAGAAAGACCATGTCCATCTGCATTACCATACTTTGACAAGATGATATCAAACGAATCAAACCGGTCGCGGTAACGTAGTGGTTGGACATTCGCTTCGTGACCAGAAGGCCGGGTTCGATTCTCTTTCGCCGTACATGTTGCATCATACCTTAAACGTAAACATAGGTAGAGACTGTTCCTTTGCAAAATTCCCGGCATTAGAAGTGAAAGTTACAGGCCTTTCAGATAAAACCTTAAAAACCGAGGTCCTGTATCACGAAGGGCATTGGTACGATAAAAAACGCTCACTGCTCAATGGGCCTGAGCCCTTTATATTATGACGTCTCTATATGAGTGAAAATTTTAAAGTGGGACTTAAAACGGCAGACAATCAATCGATCAGTTGAACTACTAACAGTATATGAAGAAGATAGTCAACAGTAAGTCACACAGCTGCGAAGAATTCGGGCTACTGGTTGAACCGCGATGAACTGACCGCAGGTTGTGGAGAGCGGTTTAATGCATAATCTGCGTTGGCAGCACTGTATTTTTGTCTTAATATACAAACCATATGTTTATTTCAAGACAAAACAAGTGGTATAATTAGAATGTATTTCAGATCAAGTCATATTTATGTCTTTTTTCGCTATTAAGTAGTTAATTGAATACTCAAGCTAGTATTATCAGACAGGGTTTTTTTTTTATTTTCAGTGGGGAACCCGTTGTGACAGTGACGCTATTTGTGAAGGTAAGCTCCTTCTATCTTTGTTGGTAATATTTGTTGAATAGAAACACGCGTATAACTTTGAAATTACTCAGACTTCTATATATCCCAAAAAATTTAGTTAAAAGCAAATATTACGTTTGTGTCATAATAACATTTCTAAATTTAAAAGTATCGCTATTGAACTTGAAAAATACTTATAGTTTTCAAAAAAAAGTTCTACGGTAATGTTTCATAAGAAATCAAAGTTCATATAAAGTTTCAAAGTATCTCCACAATTCTACACTGGATATACGACGGGATTCTGTAAATTTAAAAAAATTAAATAAATTTATGAAAAAGGGATTTGCGGGAATCAGATGAAATAAATTAAAGCAAGTGTAAAACGCCTATTTATATGAATAGCTTAAGCTCTTGCTCAGACATGAAAGGAAATAATCTGCAACGTTTTCAATCTGCTAAGAGATAAAAGAGGGAAAACAATAAAAAGAATGAATTTTAAAAACAACATAAAGAATCTACCTTTTTGCAGAATCAAATTATTTATTTAACCTGATAAGTATCGATCAATTATTTTTTCTTTTAAATTGTGTTCATTATAAAATGCATTTGATGTTAAGCCATTATCCTCATTAGTAGTAGTAACATGCATACATATCTAGAAATGCTCATGTGTTATTGTTTATTTCTTTGTTTAGAGCCTGAACCGTACCAAAACGGAAAATGCTGTGAGATACCTTGTGATAATTTTCACAAGGTTTGCCGGTACCCAACAGATGATTTCAGAAATTCTTTTATTACAGCGTACTATTGGTCAAAATAACTTATTGATCAAGTGCTCATACGACGAATTGAATGAAACTTTCTTTTTATCTCGAAAATTGAAGAAATAAACCTATCCACATCCATTGACATTTTGATTATTATTCTCTGGGTTTATGCCTCTTGTTTTGAGATATTTTAAAAACACAGATTTTAATTATACGATTCCGTGTGATCTAAAAACAAAAGGCTTATGGTCCTGAAGTATTGAGGAAACGTCTACCTTATATGAAAGATTGATCCCTGTATCTCGTTTTAACGTCTGCAATTCTAAACCATCCATTAAACTAATGAATATAAAAATCAACCTTAGATACAGAAATCCATAATTAAGAAAAGGAAATTTATTACTCCTATAATATGTTTCATCACTCCAAAAGAATGATTACTTTAAAAAATATTTGTCTAACAGGTTAGGGAAAACTCAAAGAACAATTATCACCGTGCAAAATTGACTTTTTGAACAAATATTGTTTTGAACTTTTAATTTATCAGAGATTTATCTACTATTTTTCCTAACATAAACTGCAAATCGAATTATTCCTGGACAATGGGTTACTGAATTATTTTCTTAATTGCACAATGACATTTTCTGGACAATCGTTGAGAACATACAAATAAGCAGAATGTGACCGCCATCACTACCTTCTGATACCTTATTAAAACATTCATGAAATTATTTCATTGATCTTTCTTTCATGCCCATCCTATCAAATCCCTTCAAAGAACAATTATTTGTAATTTACTCAATACATACCATTTTATTTCATCATTCAATTTGCTAATTGTTGTCAAAGAACTGTTTTATATACCAGTGTCTGAATTGTATGTAGCAGTTCGGGGGCCAGCCGCATTACCGGCCACTTCTGTCTGTCTGTCTGTCTGTCTGCAATAATTCCTTGATTGATAAAATAACTGCCAATCCTTAAAAAATAATAAATTCGGAAACCGTATTACTCGTTATTTTGGATTTATTTATTTTCCGAAAGAACCCTAGGAATACAGATTTACTTTTTCTTGCCCACGGCGCCGTTCATTCACCTAACAACATTCCCTCTTACCAGTTCAACGTCATATTATTTTGGACCCAAACTTCGTGGTCATAAATGGTGGATGAATCCTTAGGGTACAACGCCCTAATTAAGCTGCTCCATATATTTTGAACTAGTCTGATGCTGTACCTTAACCCTATGGCGAGTTCCCAAACGTTATCTTGACTTCACAGCAATAATGATGAACAACTATCAATTTCGGACAGCATTGTCAATATGTACCTTTCCTCCAACGTGTATTATTTTCCCTCGGATTGAAATGTCGCACATTCATTGGTTTAAACGCGACCCGTGACTCTCGGCTATATTTCTATGTCCGGCAGGTTAGAACTGATATTTGGCAATATGGCCGAAGTGTTTCGTTTACATTTCGATATTAAAATCATTTATTACGGAAACCACTTTCCATAATGATTTCATTTTGAAATTAGAGTAGCGGGCCTTTTAAAAAATGGCGTCAGATTCGTTGTGACTGCATCACAAGTGATGGTAGCGTCAAGATTCGCTCAAACAAGAGAGTGAAAATGTATTGAATTAGAATTTAAGCAGAAACAAATTATTGAAAGGAAATAAAGATGGTCAAAGAATTATCAAGCTTGCATGACGGTAAAAGGTAACATTGATAATTTTGAAGAGTTTGACTCCATATGTGAAATTGGACGAATCACGCTACTGTCGATAGATAATTGAGATGTTAGGACACTTTAATTTTGAATTGATATATGTTAAATTCAATAACTTGATCATTATTTCTTGCAGGACCGTTGTACTACAAGGTTCGGGAGGAGGGTCCCATTGTTTTAAGAATAGTGTTTTGCTGTATAGTATTGTATATCATTCAAACGCCATACCCCCCCCCCCCTTCCCACGCACACACTCACACTTTTTTTACAGTGGGCTGGAAAGTGTGTCATGTTATTTCATTAAAAATTCCCAACAATTTAGAGAAGGATTCTAGCGCTGCCCGAGTTTAAACAGTTAATGTTTTTGTCTGGTTTGTCTTTTTTTTTTTTTGGTGCCTCCCCCTTTCATAAACGTTCCTATGGGCCTCTCTTGTGTTCATGTCTCTTACACTATGATCCTCGAGAAAATAAATCACTTATTGGGTTTGTTACTGGCTGTGTACAGAAATATATTGGCCGGTTTGATAAATCTCATAAAGGGCAAGGTAATGAGAGCATCGCCGTCTATGAGATTGATCAACCCGATATATTTCTGAACACAGCCAGTAACAAACCTAAAAAGTAATGAAAGACAACATAAATATCGTTTCAACAAGTGCTTTTAATGTCATAGACCTGGACACTTCGCCAAGAATTGCACTTTTTGCTGTGAACAAAAGTAAATGTCTAAACAGGTACGTGATCATTGCAGAATTCAAAAATGTTTCGAACAAACAAAAAAAACAGCTTCTCAAGTAATTTCCGTTTACAACATCAGAAAATCGGCCTTAAGTCATTTTATTGACTTTTCATCTGTTCTTAAACACAAACTTTCCAAGACAAAACAAACTAGAAAGATTCCCAGGATAAACTGTTAGGATTAATTTCAAAACTTCGTAAAACAGAAAGTGAATTGAAGTAGACCTGAAATCAAAATTGTTTGCTTGAAGAAACTTCCCGACGGAAAATCTCAGAACCTCAATCCAAACTGAAACACGCGTCCAAGAAAATAGTTTGTAGCGGCAATTTGAGGAGCTACAGAAACAACTCGACTGATTTCAGCAAGTTCACAAAATGGCTTCGGACAGAATTCATGGGGACAAAAGCTTCCAAATGTGTGGTTTTTACAGTTCCGGTTTATACAATGAACCTCCTCTACTGATGACTTTTCATTTACAACCGCGCGTCGTTATCTTGCATAAATCGAAGTATAAATTTAAGGATGAAGTTTGGATGAAATATATGGAGATAACGAACAGTATTCAAGCTCAAAAGTCCATAATCAATACAAAATAGGAGCAGAGCAAACACGGACCTCCAAACATCAGAGGTGGGATCAGGTGCCATGGAGGAGTGAGCATCCCCTGCCGACCGGTCACACCCGCCGTGTGCTCCTTGTCATGATCGGGAAATAACGGGAAAATCCGTCGACAATTCAGTGTGTAAATAATGGTCTAACAATTAGTGTGAAAAACGTCAGTCAGCATTTGACTCAATGATAAATTGTATTTGCTGACAAGGTCATTGTATCGACCATAGAACTTACGAAATGATGACTTTAAAGGAGACAGCTGATATTCTTGTTTCATCAACTTATTTGTCAATAATTTACCTCGTTTTAGAAATTGTACATACGTAGAGCATGCTCTTGCGTATCGAATCAACTGAGAGATATATACCCCGTATGCAGGTGATGAAGGTATATTGCTGCACAAGTAAGGGAAGTTGACGATTGAAAAGTTAAATTCATCACGTTTATCATAAAGCTTGGTTGTTAGATTACCATTAACGTCTTTTTCAAGTAAAATATCCAAATATGAAACAGATGTGTCAGACTCTGTGGTATCTTTTATCTCAAGTTCACAAGGATATATCGTATCGACACAAGGATATATCGTATCGTCGTATTTATTTAAAAAAAAATGGCTGATCTTTTTTTTTTTTTATTTGGGGGTTACTCATTATAAATGCCTTCATTGTACTAAACTCCGTATAATCTTCAACTTGTTTAAAAATAATTTAATTAAAGGATACGTCGATGAACTTTACAAACATGATATAGGGATATTGAAATTATACTAATGAATATTGACTCGAGTTGGCTGTACAAATGCATTTTTACAGGAAATGAGTGCCAATACTCAACAATATAAGGTCTATAACGCCTTTATTATATAGCTTAAACATTTTCCAATATATTTTTAGTAGTTATTTAAATGAAATTAAATTAATGAGAACTATTCAATATCGGTGTATACATTTAAAGTGTGCAATATCAGCGTATATTCTGGAAGTGTTCAATATTACATATCATTCAAGTGACCCTACCAAACGTTATTATTTGCTTATTGAAACTTATAGGCACAAAATTATTAGTTAATAAATTAAAATTTTGAGTGGAAAAAGACACATCCTACCTAGCTGCTACTACCCATCTTAAGACCAGACGACAGTTTTTGTGTACAACGGCGCGTTCGATATTGAACGCTAACATGTACATACAGAATGTTCCGGATCATACTCGTGTACGTTATGCAAACTCAGCGTTCGTTAGAGAAATACCAACATCTTACGAACGAAGGTAACTCGCCCTAACTTCCCGTATCTCCGTTTCAGGAAGTACTCCTGTATCGGGGGTAGTTATTGTTTAAAAGTTTAAAATAGGAAGAAGTGTATGTTAATTATAGAATGGATACAGGGTTTTTATTCACTCTGGAAATTCTTATTTTCTTATTTTCTATATTCAATTCAGAGTCTATAAAAGCAGACGAACTCAACAGATGAAAATAAAACCACAATACCTACATATGAAACATGTTTGTCAAGTCAATGATTTAACTACAGTTCATTTGGACGAAAAGTTACTTTTACCATGAAGAAATCTAAATTCACATCCTGTATCAATGTTCATAGGCGACAAGACACTGGGACAAGGCGCTTAATCTCTTGTCAAATGTTAATGTGTGTTTGTGTCTGTGTGTGTGCGTGAGAGAGAGAGAGAGAGAGAGAGAGAGAGAGAGAGAGTAGCAAAGTCTCCGTTGATTTATGAACAATAACTGTTGTAAAGAATAAATGCCAGTCGGGGGACGTACCTGAAAACAATATTACCAAACAAACAAAGGGTGACACTACTTTGGAAAACATTTTTTTCTAAATTGCCTCCGATAATTGGTGCTGGTTTTTTTTTTTTTTTTTTTTTTTTTACTTTTATCACAAGTTCATTCTCATAGGATATTGTTTTCATGAAAATGATTAGTCACGATGGTTTTGGCGTGAATTTGATCAAGGCAAATATTGTGGAATTTAAACAGTGTAAAACATGGAATAGCTAGGTGTAAACACGTGATAAAAAGCATC